TTTTCGTTTATCATTAATTTGTGCTTTCCAAGGACACGAGGAAAATGCCATTTTACTGTTAAATAAATTTAGTATTATTGCACCTGCAAAGCACTTAAGAGACATTAATTTTGCGGTCGATTTATTTGAAATTTCTCTAGTTGATACCTTAGTGATGGTGATTCGCCCATAAATTTACATTTTTATCACATATGCAAAGTACCTACATGCCGAGCAGACTGCCCGCAACATATATTCCAGCATAGTATTGTGGATTATCTGAAATTAAATGAATTATAGCATTATAAGTTAAGTCCGAAGCGGTGTGAAAATCTCGCTGACCCGGCGGCCGGCCCGCCGGCGTAAAATTTGCACTGCAATACGCGGCGAACAGTACTACAAAGCAAGGAAAATCTTGTGTTAATTTTGTTGGACGAAAGTGAAACCAGTGATACATAAGCAAATTACCAGAAACAAAATTAACATGAAACTTAAAATTTTCATTTCAAAACTAGTCTAGACAACAACGCGGAAAGAGCTCTACTTCAACCTGGGAATATATCCACTCTCCGTGATCCAGAACAGAACCCGTGACTTATAACGGTTCATTGTACATCCCTAAATGTCACAGATCTGGAGGCGCTTAATCCAAAATCACAACAAAACATTAGTTGTAGACGACTCTCCCTGATCATCGTATAATATCAGAATGTCAGTTAGTCTATCAGTGCACGAGATGCGAGTAGATCCATTACTGGGAACGTCTCGATAATCCGGCGTAATTTTCGAGACATTCCGTCAAATTTTTTTGATCGGCTGAAGGCATTGTTATTACCCGACGCATTGAAATCCTTTTCATTGGCTGTTTAGGTTATGGTTGAAGCCATTGACGGTGGTGCATCTTTCCAGAAACGTTCCTTTTGTTTAGGAAAGATTTAGATTTTGCTTTGTGTTTTACAGAAGAATTATGGCATAGCTATTGTTTCTGCAATATGTTTACAATTTCCTTGAATAAGGATGCTGTAAAGGTGACGCTGATAATTTAATCAATCGAGTGGGAAAGACAGGCGATTTGTTGAATATACCTTAATCCTAGTCTACAAATTTCCAAGTTCTCTGAACTTCTTACCGCCTTTTGCATGGATTCGCGCGATATTATGCGATGCCGTAACCTTTACCCAGTAATGTTTCAGTGATTATTAATTATTTAAGAATGAACACTTTCAATTTGACGCATTCAGTTAATAATCATGTTGACCTTTTTTCCAATGCTACGCTGGTCGTCTTGAACCAGAATATTACCGTAAACTCTATTATCAGTCAAACGCTGTTCGTCTGGCAGCTGAATTTTTGGTTTGCTATGGGTATGACATGTTGCGCATCGGGCGGCATCATGTGTGTTGCACTACTTGGTGTTGTATGGAAACAGTGGAGATCGTCGCTCATCAATGCCGTTGATGACCGGAACGGAACCAAACTGCTGATTGTCCATGCTGCCGCCGTGGAAATGGTCATGTGCTGCATCACCCACCCTATCAACTTCACGCAGATTTATTATGGAAACTATGCAGTAAGGTCGAAAAAAGGTCAGCAATTTCTGTCGCAGGCGTTTCAAAAATTCTGTTAAATAATTTTTTTATTTGTTCGGCTTTATATGAAAACGGTGTTGCTCAAGCATTACTCTAGTTATTAAGCGCTAATTTAGTCATTTAGCGCTTTAAGGTTTCTATAGCTGTTTAGGCTGTACATTTGCAATTATGCTCAAACATCATGACAACTTGGTACGGAGTTACCACGAACATGTAGGCGCAACATCCAAAGACGACGTTACTACCGCGCAAGCCTTTATATCGTTTAATTATATAGATCACTTCGGCGGCCTGCACCGTTCTGCAGCTGCCCTTTGCGCTATTCCGCACTGCCGGTTATTGGTCTTCAACATTCCTGGCTTTGAACCGTCTGATCGCCATCTGTTTCCCGGTGTTTTTCCGTGCGTACTGCGCCAAACAACCCATCACAATGGGCATCATCAGCATTATTTGGACGGTCTGCCTGGGCGTGTTTATCCCGGTTATTGTCGGTTGGGGCAACCGCTTCGCCCCAACGGCGCCGCTGAACGCTTGTGGAGTGAAACCTCTCACACTGGCAGCCGGTAACATGAACCAGATCACCACGACCTACGCGCCGTTAATGTTAACCGGCATCATGTACACCGGGATTTTGGGCTTCGTGATGGTGCAGCGCTTCTATATGAAACTGCAGCGACGGTCACCGTTTCACCGGCGCTCTTTCAAACTGGCATTGCTGCTGTTTGTGGCGACGCTGTGGCGCTGTGTGTGCTTTTTTTCCGCACACGGCCATCGCTGGATTCGACCGTGGGGGGTTGTTGTTGCAGAATCCGGTGTTGGCGTTATGGGTGCGGCTGGTCTTCATGTTGGGTTACGCGGGGAATCCGGTAAGAGTCGTGACGTATGTGTGCCGCCCACATGTATGCATGTGGGAAAACATCCTTAGGACATTATGTTTGCTATTAACTTTATGAACTACGTGCAAGTGTGACGTTGCAGATGATCTTCTTCGGAATGAATCGAGAGTACAGTTCCACGTTGCAAGAGTGGATCTACAGTATTCGGAGTGTTGTGTGCGGCTTTACTCGGGTGCATCCTCGTTTGGAGGCTTCGGGAAAATTGGATTCAACCAAAGGGACAAAGAATACGAGCGAATAATTATCTTAAAATCTGGCAGATTGCACCGTACATACGTACATGCATGCAGTTGAAAATAATTTCATGGGTATCGCCTATCCGAACTCCGAAAAAACGTACTCGTAATTTCGGTTATGGTTAGCAATGAGTTTTCGAGCCTTTGCACGTATGTATGCACGTACGGTATTTTGTATGTTTGTGCGTATTTTAACGTTTTCATGCCAGAATAATTTATCCGTATTCATAATGTATGTTTATGGCTGCAGATACTATATTAATTTTGTTATTTTTTTGCCACTGGCTTTTTGTACATGTACGTTATTTTCATAAGCTAAAAACGCAAAACGCTGCCATTTTCTTTCGAACTGCCATAAATGTCAGTTATTATTGTTGTCAGCATTTTCAACAGATGCACTGTAACCCCTTCTTTATGAACAGCCTTGTGCACAAATATTTGTTTACTTTTATTTAGTTTTCTAATGTGGGTTGTTTACCTAATCACCGAAATCATAGTTATTGGTTTTTTTGTCTGAGAATTCTTTATGTGTTTGTTATTCCCTTATTATTGTACGGTAGGGGTATGTTTTGGAAGAATATCGTACTCATTTCGAACGCATATCAATTTTTATTTTTCATTCAAGTTGTTCAATGACAAAATCATCAAAAAAACGCGGACACATCGATTATGAGAAAACAAATTATCTTGGTAGCAGTCAAGATGTTAGAACAGGGTTCACGCATGTTAAAAATGTTAGGACCGGTTAATAAAAAAGACAATCTCTAATAGCATCGACACATTGCTCTTACGAATAACTAGCCGCCGGTGTCTGCACAGGCACGGTGGCCGCTGCGGGCGCAGCAACATTCACAGTTGGTGCAGCGGCGACGGTGTTCTGGCTGCCCCATCCACGGTTGACCTGCGGCTGGACCTGGGAGAACAACTGGACCGGCTTGAGCTCGACCTTGTTCTGGGGGACCATCAGCTGCACCGGACGGAGGTTGACCTGGGTCTGCGGCGTGTAGAGCTGAACGGGCTGCAGTTGGGGCTGGATGACGGGGGCGCCCCACCCCTGGTGCTGGGCCATGGGCTGGACGGCGGCCGGTTGACCCCAGCCGGCGTTGGAGCCGATGTTGGCCATGGGGTTGATGGCGCCCATACCGTACTGGTTGGACAAGGGGGCCAGTCCTCCAAGAGCGAGGTTTTCGAGACCACCGGCGCCGATGCCGCCCAGACCGGCACCTAGGCCAGCGCCTAGACCAAGTCCAGGGAAGGCGAACTGGGAAAGGGTCAGGCCGAGGCAGGCGCCCAGTGTGGCGGCGATGAGAAGGCTCTGCAAACGCCAGCAAATTAATGACACAGAACACTTAAAAAGATTTTGCTTTTCCACTCAAAATGCTATAGTATCGTTGGTCTAAGATCATTTGCTATACACATATGCTCAGTAAAAGTAAATATAGCAGATCAAAATCTTAAATTTGTTAGAAGCAGAAAAAAACTGGGATATAATGTGGCATCAAAAAAGGTGGGTGTATTGTTTTTAGATTATGTACATCTACTCTTACCTTTACAGTCTGCATGATTTCACGAGGATGTAAACTGTGCAGAATGAAGCAGCTAAAGGTCACACTAAAAGCAGCCGTTTAAGAATCCAGTGTTGGCAATGGTGCAAATAAAGTTAGCAAGTGCGAAACTCACAAATTAAAACCTGCGCAAGCGAAGTGATTTTAAACTTGGCTTATATATCGACAAAAAAACCCTGGAGAGACAGTTTCTCGACTGGCATAGAAACCCGCTTCTTCTTCAGCAGATGGTATCAGACTGTCACCAGTTGACCAGGCAGGTCTACTCTGTTTTTTATTCAACAGCCGTCATTCAGCCGTGATTGTTAAGTCACCATTTGAGTTTCTCTGTTGGCACTCAGTGGCTTGCAGCACACGAATGAGGGAATGGCACACTTTACATTGTACTGAAACAAATGCACCCAGGTTTTTTAGGTTACTCATTGCAAGGAGTTATACAAGATGACAGCTGTATGTGAAACAACTTTCAAAAAGAATTTAGTTTGCCGTCTGTACGTGTAAGCACGAAAACGAAAGTGGCAAGGCAAGGACAAGAACCAATAAACGCTTTATTATGCCAAAATATTTTATACCAGGTTGACCTTTCAAAAAATTAGTTTGAAATTATAGCAATATAATTTGATAAATTTGTGGATTCATAAAATGGTTTAGGCGGAAAATGTTTTATAGAGCGGATTGAACTGTGAGCCATTGTGAGGAACGAAATACCGAGAGTTTTTTGCGACAACCGGCATGTTTGTATTACTACTTTATTGCTAATACTGCTTTCAACCGCCAAACCTTAAACATAAACAGAAACATGTATAAATGAACATAAACAGTCACGAAACTTTAGTCATAAACATTATAGGGTAGCAGAGACGTAATATAAGAAATAATAAAAAAAGATGACAGCTTTTGCCAGATACGTTAACCAATTAACAGATAGCAGCAGCATATGATGCAGAAATGCAAGTTACTAAAATAATGCTTCATGGAAGCGGTATATGACTATTGACTACGCATAAAATTTAAAATAATACTGATTTCTGCGACTGAAAGAATAATTAACAATTCGAGCAATTACAAGACTGGGTTAACTTACACTACTTAGGCAGACGTACCGGTAAACAAATGTACAATTCGGTAAACTATTTACAACGGCGTTGGATTGGCGGTGCTGATGTGTAGGTTTACCATTTGCATCCTTTGCACAGGTAGATCCAGCAGCTGGCCGGGCTTTTGCGGCACACGCACACGCCGTCCTTGCAGGAGCCTCCGCTTTTGCATTTGATCTGACCACAGTGCAAGGCGCACAGGGTATTCACACCCAGCGAGATCGGTCCGATGCCCATCCCTCCCAAAAGGTCACAGGTCACTTTGTTGTTGTCCAGCACGTCATCTTCTATGAAAACATATATTCATTTTCGACCGAAGCGTAGCGAAGGTCTTCTATGTTCAAGTATAATGAAAAATGTGGTGTCTGTGCGTCGGTCACCGCCACCAAATGCACATATGCGCGGTGGTAAGTGTTACCTGATGCACATATGCACGCTGGCCGTATATACTCAAGGCAAATGTAATTCATGGTGTCTGTGCGTCGGTCACCGACACCAAATGCACATATGCGCGGTGGTATGTGTTTTCTGATGCACATATGCACGCTGGCCGTATATACTCAAGCCAAATGATTTCCATGGTGTCTGTGCGTCGGTCACCGCCACAACGTGCACATATTCACTGTGGTGTGTGTAACCGGATGCACAGAGGCACGGTGGCCGTTTATACTGGCGAAACATGTAACTCGTGGTGTCTGTGCGTCGGTCACCACCGCGAAAGGCAAATATGCATGGTGATGTTTGCAGCCCGGATGCGCACATATGCACTTTAGCCGTATGCATTGGCCGGTGGACATCTCCCCGATATGATCAAAAGATTACTTATTGCTTTTCCTTTATGTAAAAATGGCAAAAGAGCGCTACAAAAGCGTCCGAGAGTACGTTTTTGCAAATCACAAGCGACGAGTTTCGTTATCAATAATGGAATCATTAGTCGATAGTGAGAGTAACAATATACCGGTGTCTGCTGGAAATTTTTGAATTAGTCTCTAGCTGGGTGTTGCAGACACTGTCCCAGTAGACCAGTACCATAATACGGCTACCTGACACTCCTCTCATGAGTCATGACACCCATTTCGGCCTCATGACATTTGCGCAACCTAACAAAAACCAAGAAACCGAAGAATACGGCAATCGACCGAAAAACCAATACCAATTAATATTCCGGTATTAAAGAGTTCTTTCTAGAAAATTCTCTAATCAGAATCGTAATCGGTCAGCATTGCTCGGCGCAGTTTCGTGAAAATGGTAATCCACCGGCTGGGTTGGTGTCACCAGTTTTTTTACATGATGGACCTATCCTTGGATTCTGCTTTTTAGTCTTGGCCTTTTATAAACTGCCACGAGCGTTAACAAATCCAACACTTTACACCGTATTCAGAAGATAATTCTACCATTGGGTACTCTGCATATGTACATATTGTGGCAGTGACCTCCCATAGCTGTGCATGAACCGGCATAAATTATTCCACAAGGGCAGAAGAAATTTTGATTTTTTACAAATTCAAAACATGTATTCAAAACATTCACTTATCTGCAAAATTTTACCTAAATGCGTACCGGGGCCAGAAGCCGAGATTTCACTTGTCACTCTACTAAAAATTCTACCAACCGGGGTGAGAGTATTAAATAAACGAGGAGGATTGGCTACAGAAAAAGGGGTGCCAATCACTCTGTACATAGTCCTGTTACGCTTCGGTCTTTCAGTGCCCGCAAAAAGCGTGTGCACTTTCCTAGTTTTAAATACCCCAAGCACACCGCTGTCCCGGCTGTAGTTGACCTTTGCTGACCTTCATTGTGCGTGCTGTGATTGTGATGTCCGTGATAACGGTCAGAGTCCTCTTCTCCACTATCGGTTTCTGGAAAATTATAATTAAGAATCTAATATTTACTAACACAGGAGTATGTTTAATAATACTCTCAAGTCACAAAAAAGGAGTATTTCTTACCAGGAGCCGGATAGGATACCACCAAACCGACGAGAATAATGCAGACCGCTACGAATATAACTTTCTCTGATGCCATGGTACTTATAATGAAGAAAAACACAAAACGTATGCAATAAAATTTACTCTAACCAACTTTTAAGCAGTGTTAAGCAGAAGCTTTAACTTTCTGTTAGGATTTATCAAGTACTTTGGAAAGTGTAGTAACAAGCTCACTTTTGGCCATATTTATATGAATTTGAAATTGTTTACCAGTGGTTTTCAGAATAATTTATAACGGTGTTTGTATCAGGATTTTTCCCCGATTTTCTAATAGTTGTGAGTACCTAAGCGGAAGCGGTTAAAATTGCGCATTTTTATTGCCACTTGAAACTGATAACGATGTGTAGAACGCCGCAAATCTGTAGACTGGTCATATTGTTCCTTTATCAGCGCGACAATAGGCCATATTGCAGACAGGCTGTTTAATCTTCGCCGATGCTGATGTGATCTTGACGACATATACCGAATTGTTGCCGGAAAGAACTCATTGCGTTCATTCAACGCTAATTATGGTTTACAACTTAACGGCAATGTAATAGCATCGCTTGTTTACTGCGAATGCCGCTGAAACTAAATAATAAACTTTAAACATAATACTTTAATTAAAGAAAGATGCGCATTATGGCAAGTCCTTGGTTATTCAACTTATGCAGTAAGTGTAGCGCAAAGTGTCGCATACTGCTGTTGAATAACCTGATGGTGCACAAATCACAGCTGAGAAATAAGGTTAAATTTTGCATATTATGTACTTCATATGGATGTTTGAACATTAAAAATTAACAAAGTCCAGCTAACGACACAATACGACGTCGCCACATAAATAACGATACGCTAATCCTTTTGCTGCATCCTGTTTCAAAAATTATTATGGTTATTTTTTGGTGTTTTAAAACAGAGTTTTTGTTGTTATGCACGACGTTTACTGTAGGCATTATCGCGTTCACATGGTTTTAGAAAACTTGTAGTTAAACGGGTGATGTTTGTACATGCTCTATTTTGTTAACACTGCTTTGGAAGGGCATCGAAGCTTGGTATGCTCTAAGACGGTATTTCCAGGCGTCAGAGCATTAATAGTTCCATTATGCCGAGGCGTGCCAATAACCTGAATCCAGAAGAGAACGGTTATCTGTTGGAAAATGAAATCTGGCGCCGTTTTTTTCTCCAGACAGTAAAAAACATTCTCGACAATACGGAGAAAGAATTGCATAGGCGACACTAGGCAAAGCTTTGTGATGCAGCGTCTAGCTTTGCATTCTGCAACAATTGATGAACTGTATTGTGCAACAGCTGGCAGCTTGGTATGACTGCCGGTCTAACCCAGTTTCCGCCCGTCTGCAAAAGATTCTGTCTCCCTTAGTGAATTTGAAAAAATATGTGTTCTGGTCAGTGAGGAATAACGAAAATCAGCTTTCCTTATATAAAGCACATGTAAAATCGAAAGTGATATCCAGTCAGCCTTTTTAACGCTGTATCCTTTTGCTCTGCAGTAGGCAGCATCACTGCATCGTCAGTTTTCAGTACTATTCACTTAAGTTTAATTTTCTTGCCAGTTCCTCTGATCTTCGTTCAGCACTGCAACATGCAGAAATTCATCGTAAGTTATCAAATTTTTGTTATATCTCTCAAAGTATCGCTCTGGTGGCGTGATCTACGTGTTTGCGCTACACTTTTGAACAATAAGTTATGCACAGTCAGCGCAGATGCTTTTCTTTAAACTTAATGCTTACGTACATTATGCCAATTGGATCTCTGTCACAAGTCAAAAACTTAATGGCTAATTCACATAATTTTTGAGTACATTCAAATATATATATTAATGGTTCAATTATTTAAAATTAACCTACGTCCAAGTTTTGTTTTATTGAGCGCAGGATTTATTTCGCTGTTTTGTACAGTTTTCTGTGGCCCCTGTTCTTACAGAACTGTTTCGTATAGGTCCTTGTCTTCTTGGCCTGCGTTGCCGCTGCCTCCGCCCAGCTCTTCGGCGGACTTGGTGGACTAGGCGGATTTGGCGGTATGGGTGGATTGGGCGGCTTCGGCGGCGGATTGGGTGGCATTGGCGGTTTGGGAGGATTCGGCGGCATGGGTGGTTTGGGTGGAATGGGTGGACTGGGCGGTATGGGCTACGGTGGATTGGGCGGGATGGGCATGGGCGGATTCCCCGGCATGGGCATGATGGGCGGCCTGGGTGGACTGCAGGGCGCCAACGGTTGGGGCGCGGCATCTCCCATGATTGCCGCGGCTCCTATGCAGGCAGCTACAGGATGGGGACGCAAGTAATCTAATGTCAAGAATAGATTTTTAACCAGAGTGTTTTCTTTGCTTTTCCTTGTTACTAATACTTGCTGGACAGGTATTAAATGAGCACTGACGGCAACAATTTTTATTTGTGAGTTACTTCTTTCGGAATTTTGAGTTTGGCTGCTTTGTGTTGGCTACGTTATTTTTTGTTTGTTTAAATGTTTGAGTTCCGGACTGACCCCCAAAATTTGTGAAATGTAAAACCCAAAAAAGAAATCAAATAGCGATTTGCAGATTGATCACAAAAAAGAGTTTGAAAACTTGCACTGTAGAAGTACAGATTACTGCTTTTGGCACCTGTACGTTACACAGCACCTTAATTGCTGTACGTTCTAAAACTCAATTACCAATTTCGGTCGGTTTAAAAGAATGAGGCACTATTTTAAAGCGCTGTACCATACATGGTCATTTTTTCTCAAGCATGTGTAGAAGTAAAATAAGATGTAACGATATTTTCTTGCTTAGTATTATTGGCAGGCCTGCGCTAAAAGTCTGAATCTGATTCTGAATGCTAAAAGTCTGAGTCTGAATACTAAAAGTCTGATTCTGATTCCTGGAACTCTGAATCTGAATACCAAACTCTGAATCTGAATATTAAGTCTGGCAGGTGACGACCCGAGTCTCTCATCAAAATTATAACGCAGTTGTGTTAACACAATAATTAATAGCTCGGATAGATAACAGAATTATATATACGAGTAATTATAGATTAGTATTAGGCGGTGGGAACTGCTCGTAAAAAACAACACGGGGCGCTCTACAGGGACGTTGCGAATAAGTACGTTTGTGCGGTAAAAAAATATTGTTCTGCGTCCAGTGTAGGATGAGATAGCAGGTAATTCCTCTGAATGTACCGAACGAGCCTTTGCCAGCGTAATATATGCCCATGTAAATGTCCTGTTATGTTGCATACTGTACATAGAGTAAGGGGAACACACGTATGCAGTAATTATATTTTCCATTTCCGACTTAATCCAGCTGCAAACGTAGTTATATGGTGCTACGTTCTGAGCTTACATAATTTGCCTTCCTTTTGAAACAACTTGTATCAGTTATTTCCTAGCTGCATCTTTCTTACATTATGTTAATCGATGTTTCTAATTTTGCCGTTTGATTAGTTAGCTTTGCCGGCTATCCAAAAAATAACTGGTAAAATAAAATTAGTAATCCAGTAAAGCTGGTCTGAACTGATCAGTTTATACCAAATCTGGATATACAGAGTACTAGGTTTGACAGAAGTTTGTAATTACTGCACTTTATCGCAGGTGTTAACGTACGGTAGCCATCACAAGTTAAACCACCAAATGAGTGTGCGGAAAAGACTGAAAATTCATTCAATCGTCCATCAACTGCATGTGATTAACTTTAAGTTAAACCACTAACTGGTAAATTATTAAAGAAGGCAAATTATGCAAGCTCATGATGCGAGTATATTACGTTGGCACAGGCTCGTTCGGTTAATTCAGAAAAATTGCCTGCTATCTCATCCTACAATGGACACAGAACAATATTTTTTGACCGCACAAACGTATTCGTAAGGCCCTGTAGAGCGCCCCGTGTTGTTTTTTACGAGCAGTTCCCACAGCCTAATACTAATCTATAATTACTCGTATATATAACTGTTATCTATACGATCTATTAATTATTGTGTTAACACAACTGCGTTATAATTTTGATGAGAGACTCGGGTCGTCACCTGCCAGACTTAATATTCAGATTCAGAGTTTGGTATTCAGATTCAGAGTTCCAGGAATCAGAATCAGACTTTTAGTATTCAGACTCAGACTTTTAGCATTCAGAATCAGATTCAGACTTTCAGCGCAGGCCTTATTGGCAGCATTTCGGGCCCGGCTGATTAATACCAACGGTTAGGTAGGCTACCCATTGTAGTACCGGAAGCGCTAAACTCAATCGGTCGGGTTGATAAGCTTGACATGCCGTAGCACATAATGAAACAGTCTACGATCGCAAGTGGCACTTATACGGAAGTACCAAAAATGCTACTAATATCGTTGACGTTCTCACAGTGCCGATGCGTGCCGTTACGTGCCGATACTTATTGAACAAAGACTCAGCTCTTCCATTGACAAACAGGATACGTAACATTTTAACTGGTAAAATGTTGATTCGACCGCTAATGGAAAAAAAATCAGAATAAAGTTTTACGTGAGGGTTTACGAGTGTACTGTGTAACCTAGCAACGAAAAAACAACCCACGTCCCGTGATGGGTTGTGACTTTGTATAAAAAAATGCGGGAAAATTAACCTTGCACTTGTGCATAAAGTTGAGAATAATACAAACGGGTTTTTGATTGCAACTAGGTAAATGATTCCCGTCAGCCATATTAAATGTTTTACGAGCCATATACTAAGAATTACATCGCGTTCGTGAAATGAAATATTATAGTGTCAGTAATTTTGTTATGACTTTAATTCAGTCTCTTTTAATGGTACGTTATTGTTAATTATTATTATATTCAGTTACGTGAGCACCAAACCTGCGGACCTCAATGATCGATATACTGCAGCCTAACGGAAACAAAAGCCTAATATCCACAAACCCGTTGCGGATCCACACAGTGATGAAAATCCCAACGACTGCGCCAATACCTACCGCATGCAGCACCCTTTCGTACTGCAAGAACGATACTAGTTTTGTAAGTAGGACGATTTGACACTGCGGTCGTGCCACATGCAAGCCGATTTGCTGGAAAACCGTGGAGTTTCAGCATAGTGGCAAGGAGCGGTTCGATAATCTACATAATTATGCGCATACATATACTTCGTAATATCACAGTTTTTGTATGAACAACTTTATCATACAACTAAGACATAATTATGTCTACGCTGACAACAAGAAATGACGAT